TTCTTCAAGGTAAGTCTTTCTCCAAGAATTCCATTTTTTTCAACTCAAAATCCTCCATACAATTATGAATCACTAATGAAAATCATAAATCTTGGGCATAGAGATTTCAATAAACTAATTCAAGAATCTCAAGAAAGGTTTTCTTGACTTATTACCTTCAAGCTAGGGTTTCAAGGCTTCTAATCAAGTTCTTCTTCAAGATTCTTCATCTTCTAGGTATGTAAGGCTATCATAGTGTTGGACTAGTTCGTCCTCACGCCCTACCTCTACTTTCAGATCAGTAAAAGAGTAATCTAAGATACTTTCCCTAGATTTGAGTATTCTTGAGATAAGTTGATTTTGAGTTCTTGAATTCATGTTTCTTTTAAAAGTTCTATTCCTAATTATCGAATAGCTATATTGTTATTGAGATCCTTCATATCATGAATCATAACTCTTGAATTCATAATTCAAATTCAAGAGAGAGTTAAGAGTAGAGTTCAAGGAAACCTTTGAGTTCAATTGTAAATCCTTTGAGATCCATCATCAATTTGAGTTAAGTTTTGAGTAAGTAAGTATGAGAATGAGAAGAGTCATATACATGAGTTCCTTATTGATATTTTGACCATTGAGTCGAGTTGTTCATGCCCATAACTTCCGCATGAACTTCATCAATTGAGTACCATTGAGAGGAGTAGTATCTTCAAGTTCTAAGTATTGAGTTCCTAATCCCATATGAGATTATATTTATAATCATGGCACTATTACATGTTACCCATGAAGTCCTTGAGTTGAATTGTTCATGCCCATAATTCTGCATCAACATTATAAGTTAAACAATCTTGAGATGAGAAGTATCTTTGAGTCCTTGAGTTGAGTAGTTCATGCACATAATTCCGCATGAACCCTCTGAGTTGAGCATTCTTGAAATGAGTAGTATTATTGAAGTTCTTGAGTTCCAAGTATGTGAGTTCTATCTATGGTTATTGAAAAACGTTGCATTGAGTCGTTCATGTCCATAATTCGGCATGAACCATATCTTAAGAAGTCTTTTACAAATGTTTAAACTTTGTTTTAAAACTTAAGCTTTGAAGTTGAGTAAAGAGTAAGAGTAAAGTTGAAGAAGTTCATTTCTACAAAAGTATATGGGGACTATGTATTCCCAAAGAGACGTAAAAATGTTTTCACATTTAAATAAGAACGGAAACTGAGATTTCCAAAGAGCCTTCGGGCTAGTTTTCAGAAAAGAGTAATAGCTTTCTAAATGAAGCAAG